TCGTCGCCAGAACTGACGTCGGCGGAGCTCACGGGCCTCAGAAGCCGCCAGTGGAAGAAGCAAGGACAGCCAGATGTATTTTTGTTCTCAAATGTTACAGAGAGAGAACTCTAAAAGCTCCCAAGAAGAGAGGGGGTTCCCACGAAGGCATAAGAGCCAGGCTGTGCCGGCGGCTCTGCCGCAGGGAGGGGGCAGGACCGCGGGGGACTCGGGAGAGAAACGCTTGGGACCGGAGGTGTGTGACCGGTCCACTTGCCACTCACCACTCGGGGGTGAGGAGCCAAGGGGCAGACATGTCCCCGGCCCCACAGAGGTCCCCGGGGACACCTGGTCACCCTCGTGTGAACCCCACCTGGCTGCCCAGCTGGGACCGGCTGGGCGCAGAATTCGGGGCATCTGTGAGCTTGGAAAAGCCACATCCTTACCCTCACTCGCCGCTCCCTAACTGCGGTGCCCCCGACTGTGAGGGCCCGGCCCAGGCCCGAGGGGACCACAGCAGGAAACCCCTCGAATGGCCCCTCCCCCACCACCCTGGGGCCCCTCGCCCTGCTGCTGGGTGCTCATGAACCCACGGACCGGGGAGCTCGCTTATCACAGCAAACCAGCCTTGTTTCTCGGGGAAGTGCGTGTTGTCGGTGTGACCCGTCTCCTCCGTGACTCGCTGTTTTATTTGACGCAGCCAGAAGCCGCTTCCTGAGCAGCCGGCCCGGGCGGCCCGGGTGTCCAGGGCCCAGAAGGGTTCAGGAACGTCCCCATTCGGCCACACCCCGGGACCGGGTGGGGAGGCTAGCTTCTGTCGACTCCCCACACACGCAGTGTCAGCGTCGCCTGGTCTGTCAGTGGGCTTCCCCCTGATGTTGCCAACACAGCAGCCCGCCACCAGGCAGCTGAATCCCTGGCCCCCAGGTCCAGGCACAAGGTGATCTGTGCTCCGAGCCACTGAAACTCGGTGACAGCCTGGGTTTGGGGAGGCTGTGGCAGGGGTGGCACAGGGCGGAGGCTCCCCTACCTCCCCACAAACACGCGAGCCACCAGGATGGCAAAGCCCAACTGCCCCGCCACCCCCGGCAGTAACTCGCGTGTCCGCTGGGCCCCCTGCTGGTGGGGGGGTGGGACACCCCGGCCGCCTGCAGGCCCTGTGACCTCGGTCGGGGCGGGGAAGCAGCTGGGGCGTGTGGCGGGGCTGAGCACCCCGACAGAGGCAGCGAGACCGTCCCCGCAGGCAGGGTCCTCGCGTGGCCAGGAGAGCCCGGAGCTCCCGGGGCCGGCCAGCCAGCCGAGGCTCCGGAGAGGCCAGCGCCAGACAGACCCAACCTGGGAGGACAGGGTCGTGGGAGAAACTGGCCCGGACGGAGCAGCGGGACCGGGGAGCACCGCCCTCGGCAGCGTGAACTGCAGAAGCGGTGGAGACACCCCCTCCCGCCCCCCACCAAGCACAGGAAATGGCTTTTAGGGAAAACAAGCAACAGACATGTCCTGTGGCCAGTGCTGTGTGGGAATGCGCCCGGAGAAGTGGCGGGGGGTGGGGTGGGGGGTGGGGGGTGCCGGCCAGGAGCAGCAGGGTGTCCTGCACAGCGGGACACTCCCACCAACCCACCTGCCCGGGGCTTGTGGGTCCCGCACCCACACTACTGGTTTGACACAGCCTCCGGCCCACCGATCACTGACAGTGTGGTCTCCGCGGGCTGGTGGGTCGGAGCCCCGCCTGGGAGGTCTGCTGGGCCCCCGCCATTGGTCGGCTCGGTTGGGGCTCCAGGCTCTGCCTCCAAGGGACGGACTGGGCAGGGGGTGGGGCAGGCTGGGCCCTCCCTGTGGGGGCTCCTCCAGGAGCTGCCGGGTTGCCCCCAGGGGCGGCGCCTCAGAAACCCAGGGCAGGCTCCAGGACCTTTATGATCAGGCCTCAGAGGCGGACAATGTCACTGCGCTGCGGGTCACACCCGTCCTCCTGGTTTTAAAGGGGTGGGGACTACTCCGGAGTGGGGTCAGTGGGAGCCCGGGACTGATGAGCCGTCTTGGAGGGTCGATGTCATGCAGATGAAAATACAACCTAATCCTCCAAAACAAGCTTTAAGACAGTAAGATCCTGAGAAAAACATAAATAAACCTGAATCAGAAAAACTCAGGAAGTGACGGAACATAGAATTCCAAATAAAATAAACATTATTTCAGAATTTAAGATTAAATCAGAGCCCTGGCTGCTGTGGCTCAGTGGATTGAGCGTGCCAGCCTGTGATGCAAGGAGTAGCAGGTTCGATTCCCAGTCAGGGCACGGGCCTGGGTTGCGGGCCAGGTCCCCAGTAGGGGGCGCACAAGAGGCAACCACACATTGGTGTTTCCCTCCCTCTCTTTCTAGCTCCTTTCCCCTCTCTCTAAAAATAAATAAAATCTTACTAAAAAAGACTAAAGCAGAGAGAACCCAAGAGTGTTATAAACACAAAAGAAAATGTTTTGAGAAAGATGGAGAGAAATGATGAACCCAGTGAAAAAAAATTTCAGGGCAAACGTGAAAAACAGGCAAAGGTCTTCACAGGCACAGCCGCTAAGCTCAAGGAGACTGCAGGGCAAAGCTGCGCCGGGACGCCCCCCCTCGCCCCCGCCCCTGCCCCCGCCCTGGTGGGGGGCTGGTGAAGGCCGGTGCTGGCAGCACCCGGAGGCGTGGAGAAGGCGGGACCCTCGCACACGCTGGTGGGGACGCTGCGGCCGGGTGGCAAACAGCCTGCCGGTTCCCAAAGTTAACGGAGGTTCCCGCTGAGGGGGGTTGCACCCCTAGGTTCATGCCAAAGCGCGTGGGAACAGCGTCCACACTGGGGCCCCGTGCCTGGCCGTCCACCACAGCCAGAACGAGGAAGCGGCCCAGGTGTCCGCCGGCTGGCAGGCCAAGCGCCGCGCACTCGCTTGGTGGAGTCGCACTCGGCTGTGAAGAGGAAGGAAGCATTGACATGGCCACATCAGGAACAGACCGAGAAACAGGACACAGAAGGCTGCACCTTCCACCCCACTGATGCAGGACGCCCAGAGTGGAGGGACCCCTGGGGACAGAAAGCAGGGTAGCGGCTGCCGGGGCCAGGCCTGTTGGGAAAGGAGAGGTTCCTTTTTGGGGCGACACACGTTTTTAGATCAGATCAGGGCGGTAGCTTGGTCGTGCAGCTTTCTAAATGGACTAAAAAATGTCGACCTGTGTATTTGAAATGGGTGAGTTTTATGATTATTGTTACAGACCTGGGGGTGCTGAATGATATAATAGATCCCCCTTTTCCTCCAGGGGTTCCTCCCCACCTACGGGGTTCGTTTTGCCCACCGCCTGAGGAAAGACATCTCTTAATACCAGAGATCAGTGAAAAGGAATTTATTATTTATTCAAAATAATACAAAGTTCCCCACCAATACACACAGTCCCCCCGGCACCCTCCACGTGGCAAAAGGGAGCACTTCCAAAGCCTCGTGGTCCGGACTCTCACCCAAGAGCACATGTGACCCCAGCCCAGACACCAAAGCCGTGTGGTCTGAACAGACGCGTGGTCCCAAAAAGAGACGCCCGATGGCTGCCGCACCTCCATGTAAATCCCAGCGCCAATCCTCCTCTGCAGCCCCATTTCCGGCTCCTCCCACAATTGGCCACAGCTGCCAGCACTCCAGGCAGGTGTGGCCCTGTGGAGTGGGGCCCATCATCTCCAAGCTCTTCTGGACCCCGTTACAAATCCCTACTTGGGGCCCCCTCTTGGCTGCACCCCGTTACATTATGTCTCATGCATAAATTAAATCTCAGTCAAGGTGTTTAAAAAAAAAAAGAAAGAGCCAACATATGTATAATTGGATTTCCTGGAAGAAACAAACAAGAAAGCACTAAAAAATGAAATCCAAGACAACTCACCTGGCATACAGAGATTTGAAATGTATACATATGTATTTTTAAGACTTTATTTTTTATTTTTAGAGAGGGGGACGGAAGAGCGGAAGAGAGGGAGAGAAACGTCAGTGTGTGGTTTCCTCTCTTGCGCCCCCTACTGGGGACCTGGCCCGCAAGGCAGGCATGTGCCCTGACTGGGAATCCAACCAACAACCCTTCAGTTTGCTGTCGGGCACTCAACCCACTGAGCCACACCAGCCTGGGCTGAAATGTATATATTGAAAAGACACATCCCATACTCAGGGAAACTGACCCAGACTGACCAGTCTTGAGACATATTTTTGTAAACTTAATGTATATTAAAGAAACCAGATCCCATGGGAAGCCAGGCAAATGCCCAAGTTGTCTGTCCGGGGAAGAAAATCAGATGGTCTGGTGACTTTTCAAAAGGGCTTCATTTTCGAGGCTGTTTTGTATGCGGCATTAAATAAATACAGCAAGTGACTAGTTATATGAAATACGTTAATGACAGTTTTCAAAGAGGGGTAAAGTTATGAGTCACATGGATATGACAATGAGCACTTGTTCAAAACTCATCAAGGGGTTTATATTATACCTGCACAGGTTTTTTTTAATATCAACTATCCTCGATAACGCTTTAAAAACCCCAGCACTTGCCGAAGAGCTCACTCAGGTAGATGCGGCGACGGGTCCGAGGAAACCGGAGAACCGGCGCATTTACAGACGAGAAATACTGAGGTGGTTACAAACGTTAACGACGGAAAGCTTTCCTGAAAGAGAGCGTGTACGGAGGCCCATGCCAGTCAGAGAAGGACCAGGTGCTGGGGCATCAAGCCTGGACCTCCGGAGGCAGGGCTGGGTGGAGGGGACGGACGTGTCCCGTCCCGGAGCGGGCAGGCTCTTCTGTGCGAACAGCACTGGGGAGGGAGACGTGCGTTGATCTGAGAGCACTTCACCGGGCTGCAGGGAAAGGGCCGGAGAAGGTGCGGGCGAGCCCCCCGAAGGAGCGCTGGCCCTTCGGGGTTAGGCCTGGCTGTGGGCCCCAGGACCATGCAAGCAGGGTGCGGTGGTCTGGTGGCCGGCCCTCCTCTCCAGCTTATTGTGTCAATGAAGTTCCAACACACGCCCAGGAATGGCGTCCGTCTTGGTCGTCTCCCTGCCCCCAGCCGTGGTTAACAGACTGGCCTCCCCCGCGTCCTCCTTCCGCCGTCCGCTGCTGTCACGGGAGGTACCGTGTCTCAGAGCCTTCCCGGACTTGTCCAGGGGAACTCAAGAAGAAGGCAAACTGGGTTTCTCGTGGGTGGTGGGGTGGGGAGCCCTTCAGCGTGTGGACAGACGAGTTATTCTGAGTCTCTCTCTCTGTTGTCTGAGGCTCAGGAATGCCGAGCCCGCTGACAACTCCCCCCCCCCCCCGCCCCGCCGAGCCCCAGCATCCCCAGTGCCCAGACCGTGGCTCTGAAATCCGGGGCCCGCCGAGAGCAGTTGGGCCTCGTGAGGAGACGGCGGATTTCAGATCTGAGGAGCTTCGCACACCTCTGGGTGGTCAGGAAGCAGCCACGGGCAGCCGGCCACAGGGGGCCCAGGCCCAGAGCCAGGCCACATTCCCCTGTTGGCAGTGCTTTGGGGTCTGGGGCCTGGTCGCTGGACATCCCCTCACCTGGCCGACCCTCGCCTTTGCAGGGGGAAGTGAAACCGGAAAAGACACCAGGGTTCGGGCCGCCTGTCACTACCAAGCCCAGTAAGCAGAGACGGGGACTGAATCTCTGCGGGCGCTTCGTTCAGGTGGCCGGCGATCTGAGAGGATGGCGGGTTCGCTCCCTAACAGACCATCTGGTCTCTTCTCTCCAGGCCCAGGTTTTTATTGCAGGGAGCAAACAGAGTGCGTGAGGGGTTTTGAAATTCAGGGAGGAGTTAATTGGATTTAAAAAAAAACCCCAAAAACCCAAGCCGACCCCAGCATTCTCGCCCTGGGGCGTGGTCAGCTTGCCCTGGAGCGCAAGGGCTCAGACACCGTCTCGGCGCACAGTCCTCCGCAGGAACAAAGGTGGAAGTGCTTACGGCCTCCTGGAGTCAGGGCGGGTCGGACCTTCAGTTCCTGGCACAAAAGCTTTTACAGGCATCGATTACTAAGCTTATCAGCTGTGACTTAAACTGAAACTTTCCAACTCTTAAGTCCCCTACCAGAAGGACGCGGGCTGCCTTCGTCCGCTGGGGCTGGGCTCCGAAGAGGACGGCTGAGGATCCCTCCCCGCTTTCCTAGCTGACCCCTAAGCCTTGCTCTTCCCTTGCCCACAGCCTTCCGTCCCCGGCCCGCGTCGCAGAGTCACGGCCCGGCAGCCGCGCTGGGGCTCAGGCTGGGCCCTGGGGTCTCCGCCCGCCCCACCCCGCCCGCAGCTGCTCTCCTGGGTCTCTGGGCCGCTCAGTGCGTCCTTCCAAGTACCCAGGCCCGCGGGGTTCATGGCCCGCATTTCCTCCTGCTGATCTTAAGCAAATAGAGAGCTCGGTATTTCTCCAGCAAAATGGGTTGTTCCGGAGCAACAAAGAAACGTAACAGGGCACACAGACCCGATGGTGCAGGGCGCGCAAGGCCCAAGAAGAACAAAGGCGAGGAGCGTACTTTTATAGAGCAAAGACGGGTGCCGAGGGCTGTTGTGAACCGAGAGCCCATTGGAGGAAACCGGGAGCTGGAAGTGTCGAGGCGCCTCATTGGCTGAGCTGCAACTGCCTCTCATTGGCTGAGTGGTTGCCGGGCGAGGAGAAGACCCTCCTCCCTCTGGAGAAACAGAGTGGAGACAGCCGTTCGGGGTGATTGACGGTGCGTGGTGGGGCGTGAGGTCCCCCTGGAGTTCTGTTGATTAACCTCCCCACTCGTGTGCTCTGGTGGGGCCCGGCTCGCTCTGCCCGGAGCATCGGTGCCCTCCCTGCCAGGCTCCCGGTGCCGAACTCCGCACCCGGGAGAAGGGGGTCTCCCGCGGAGGGAGGCGGGACTGTGCCTGGGTGGCCCCGCCCCCCCCCCCCCCCAGACTCCCGTTCGGTTGGGCAGCCCAGGGCAGTGGCCTCCCCATTTCCCTTCGTTTTGGGGCCTGTGGCCTTTATTTCCACGACAACTCCATAATTCGGCACACCAGCAGGCCCCGGAGCTGGGGGCGGGGCGGGAGGCCCAAGACGAGAGGCATGGGAACGTCTGCGGATCCGCCACCTGAGCGGCCCCCCGAGACAGCGGTCCCCCGAGACAGCGGCCCCCCGAGACAGCGGCCCCCCGAGACAGCGGTCCCCCGAGACAGCCGTCCCCCGAGACAGCCGTCCCCCGAGACAGCCCTGTGGTCGCAGGCGGCTGGGCGCTGAGCCTGTCTGCCTGCCTGTTGCCGCCCGGGTCACCCTTCTCCCGCATCCGGAGTCTTTCCGGCGAAGCCTGCAGCCTGGAAAGCCCGGCCGGGTGTGCCCGTTCCAAGGTCCAGGGACGCCTCCCCTGCTTCCGACCCTGGACGGCGAGGGTCTCCGCTGCAGGGCACGCTGGGCTGCAGCCGCCCAAGTGCGGGTCTCTCTGTGGGGGCTCCGGGGGCCCTGGGGCCTTACACTACCGAGGGGCAATCTGGAAAACGCCCGGCCAGCGGGTGCAGGTGGCCGTGTGGGCAGATGGCACCCCCACACTGGTGCGGAGACACCCCAGAGCTCTGCAGCGTGGGAGGGCAATCAGCGAGGTCCGCTTAGCTCCTGTCAACCCGCCGCGACAACACAGCACAGCTCAGCACAGCACAGCACAATGTTGACACAGCCCAGCAGGTGCGATGTAACACAACACAAACCTTTCTCAGCAGGTGAAGAGCTTCCAGCCACCCCCTCTTCCTCCTGGGTCCCAAGTCACCCAAAGCCACCCCAAGAGACCCCGAGTCCCTGACCTTTGGGCCCCATCCAGGGGGGAGGACCCCTCTGCAGGCAGCTCCCAGAGTGGAGGCAGGCAGCCCTGGTCACTGTCCGCACAGAAGCAAGGGCCCACGCGGGAGCCTGATGCCCGGGGCTGGGCAGGGGCCACAATGGCCCCTCAATGCCCTCAGCTTCCACAACACGAGGAAGGGCGGGAGCCCCACAGTTCTCGCTCCCACAGGCGAGGCTGGGGGGGGGGCGAATGTGGGTGGAGCATGTGCGTTTGCGTCACCCTAAACACTGCGTGGGCGCCCGTGTCCCGGACCCTGTGAGTCTCTCTCAGGCAGTGCCTCCAGCCAGCGCCAGGGCCACCGCACCTGCCAGACCATCCACGGGGTGCTGGGCTCCCCGCAGCCCGGGAAGCTCCCCGGGCGCCCTGCTGGGCCACCTCCTTCCCATCCTGCAGGTGAGGTGGAGAAGGCCAAGGGTGGCAGCGGGGGGGTCCGGTCCTCTGCTGCCCAGCCAGGGGCACCCCTCCTCATCCGAGGGGCTCGGTGAACCTGGCTGCTCCCCCCAGGGCTTCTGGGATCTTCTGCTACGAAGGATGGGGGTGGGGGCTCCCTAGAGAAGTGGGACCCGCCCCTGCGTCTGCCCTTCAGTGCCCAGGGCCTGCATGCCCCGACATGCTCCCAGACAGGCCCTCGGGCAGGCGTGGGCCTGCTCACTGCCAATCAGGTCACTGGGAATCAGGTCAGCGGCTGGGGCCACATCCAGGCAGGCTCCTTGCACCGCAGGGGGGCAGGGAGGGAGGCGTCTGTCCTGAGGGACACTCGATGGCCGGGGCTTGGGAACTGCTGGGAGAGGCCTTTGGGGCAGGAAGCCCCCTCCAGGCTGGACCGGGCCTCCGGGGGCTCAGGGTCGCAGGAGTGGGGCCCCTTCACAGCTTCCCCGCCTGCCCAGCTCTGCTCCCTGTGGGGACGGGAGCTCATTCCCTCGGGACAGACAGCTGCCCTCTGTCCCCCTCCCGGGCCCCACGTTGTCCCTGGCCTCAGGCCAGCGCGGGCCCTGCCACCCCGGCAGCATCCAGAGCGCCCGCAGAGCACCTCCTGGAGCCCCAGTCAGGCCCCGATTCCTTGCGGTGCCTTTTCTAAGTGTCCCGAGGTTCTGGTGGAAACGCTTCTATTTCGGTTCCCAAACTCGCCCGGAAGGAAGGGCCCGCTCCGGCCCGCTGTGCACAGCATCAGCTCAGCCGCTGGGGTGCCCCTGGGGTGAGCCCCACAGCGCTGGGGGAGCTCCAAGCTGAGGACCGGCGTGCGGGGTCCAGTCTGGTCAAATGGACCTTGGAGGCAGGTGCTCTGCCAGGTGCACCTGGGGAAACAGGTGTCCACCACCCCACACGGAGGAACCAAAGGCTCCGCCAGGCCCGGATTCCAGCGGGGCCCTCCTACCTTTGCAGGGGTGCAGCCCACTGTCCTCTCAGACCCAGCGGCTTATCCCCAGGCTGGGGACCTGCGAGAGCACGGGGCTGGCAAGCCTCCAGCCAGGCCCTTCAGCCAGGGGGTGGGGGCAGGGCGCGGGCCGAGCCCAGGACCAGGTGCAGGGCCACCCGCCCCTTTCCCTTTGGGGGCGAGGCGCGCCCTCTGGTGGCGCAAGGCGGCATCAGGCTCCTTTGTCTGCGCTGACCGGTGGACCCTAACCAGGGCGGAGGTAGCCAGAGGTGTCTCCAAACTCCCGGCGCCCAGGAAGACCTCCCAGGGCTGGGCGGGCGCACGCAGTTCTGGGGGAATGAACTTCAGCACCTCGACCTCCACAGCAGCGGGTGATGCAGGGGCATCGGCCGCGCGCCCTGCGCCAGGAGCATTGCCCGCTGGCCCTGGGCACGTGGTGAGGTGGCTGGGCGCCACGCCGTTTTCGCTGCCGTGCCTGTATGATATTTGGAGCTGTGGTAACGGAACTCCTTTCGTCCCCACGAGCTCACTGAGGTGAACCCGGCTGCTTAGTGCTGACATCTTCAAAGCCCCCGAAGTGGGAGTCAGGGTGACGCTGAACACTGGGTCTCTAACAGTTAGTAATATTCACGTGGACACAGGAATTAAGCGGCAAAAAGTCCCACGCGTTCCACGGAGAGGCGCATTTCCAACGAAAATGTACTTTCCTGACAACTTTTAAAAAATCAAAATGTATTATATAAATGATATCTAAGTCTGTGGCTGTGACTGAAAGCTAACAATTTTTAAAATAACTGAATCCAGCAAAACATTTGAAGATCATTAAGACCCTCCTGCAGTAAGGAGTAAAAAGTGACATTGTAGTTTACACACACATTTTCATTGAGGAAAGACGGTGGGTGGTCAACGGAAGTCTTTCAAGCACAAAGTCTGTGGCATGAGAACGAATCTCTGGGCAAAGCAGAAGGGAAGTGCGGGTGAAAGAGGAAAATGTACGCCAGTTAAAGAATTCTCCTTTACAAATGGATGGTGGTGAGTATTACATCGCCCCAATACTTAGGCTTTGTTGGATATGTTTAAAAACCCCACACCTGTTATGAAAATTAACTGCTGGTATCGTGTAAAAACAATATAAATGAAGCCCCCTAGAAGGGGAGCTGGACCTGCCACCCTGGGGAGCCGCCCGGGCGCCTTCTGCCTGCAGCCTTTGGAATGTTGAAGGCGGGTGACCTTGGGTCAGGGCCTGGGGACACCGTGTGTCTCCAACGACGGTTGCGAAAGCTGCAAAGGGAACCGGGCTGTGCTGACTGTGAGAAACCTTCTTCGGGGTAAACATCCTGTCGGCGTGACCTTCTCCGCGCCAGCGGCCATGCCTGCCTTCTGCGGTGCCATTGTCCCCTGCCTTCCTCGTGAGACGCCCCTGGCTTGGCCTCCTGCTTGAACTCCCTTTCGGCTTCTGCCTGAATCAGTGCTTCCAGAACGTTCTTACTGATCTCAAGTAAATGCTCGTCCTTCATTTTTAGGCTGACGCAGCAAAAACACGGGTGAGTCTCCAAGACGTTCCCCTGAGGGAAAGACATCTTCACACGAGACTGCGGTCTTGTAGAAGTGCTGCCGCGTGGAGTTGTAGAACCGGTCAGTCCGGCCCGCGGAGGCAAAGATCCCGTCAGGGTGCCCCGGGCGGGAGGGTGGGGACAGGGGCCCGCGGGGAGGGGCTGCTCCAGGGGAGGGGGTGTAAACCTTCGTGGGGGTGGCTCACGCAGAACGCGTCCGCGGGGCACCTGGGTAACATCGCCTCGCGACCACCACGTCCCCAGCCCCGGCAGCCACTGGCCCGCTCCGTGCCCGCCTGCCGGACTTCCGTGCGCTGGAGCCCACCGCCCAGCAGGCCGTCCTCTGGGAGTGGCGTCGGGCTCTGCGCCGTGGCTTCGGGGTTGGACCACGCGGCGCGAGTCAGAGCTTCGCTGCCTGCCGGGGCCGGGTGACCCTTCTCTCCCGAAGAGACGGCGGCCTCGCGAACAAACGTCGGAGCTCGTTAACGGCCGGTCTGCCGAGGAGCTGCAGGGGCTGGGCCCGCGTCTGCAGTCACCCGGAGCGGAGCCAGAGAACCAGGCGGCCGAGGCGTGGAGAGGGCGTGGGGCAGGGGCGGGGCGGGGGCAGCGCAGGCGCCGCGCGTCCGCGAGCGGCTCTTTCCGCTTGGCTGTGAGCTCGGGAGGCCTGCTGGGCGGCGAGGAGAAAAGCGCCTGCACAGCCCGCTGCAGCGGCCCTGCCGCCGGGCCCCTCTCCGCCCTCTCCGGGTCTAGGAGGAACACGTGGGCCTGCAGAAACCCGGAGCACCGCGCACCCCGTGCGTCAGTCGGACGTCACTCGAGGGGGCGGGGCCACGGCGGGAGGGGCGGGGCCACGGAGGGAGGGGCCGGGGCCCGGCGGCGGCCGCGGTGGTTTCCTGCGCGCAGCGCCGCGTCTTTAAGGCAGGCTCAGCCTCGCCCCTCCCTCCCGCCCGTCGGAGCCGCTCGCGGCCGCCGGGTGTCCTCGGAGGGCCGCCTCGGCTGCGTTGGCCTGCCGCCCCCTCATCGTCGAACTTGTTAGGAGCGTCCCTGATGGGACGCTTCGCTTCCTCCTTAAGCCGGAGGGGTGCGTGAGGCCCGTGGTACCCCGTGCGACCGTCTGTGCCCTTCGGGTTCGAAGGACTTGATCCTGTTTAAGCTTCGGAGCCCTGCGGCGTGCGGGGGACGACAGCGTGGCCCTCCAGGTGGGGAGGCAGAAGCAGCCAGCCCGTGGGTGGCAGGCCCGGTCGGATGTGCGCTGCCGAAGCCCAGAAGAGCTGTGAAACGCGCCCAGTCGTGCCCCGGCTGGGCGGCTCCGTGGACTGAGCGCCGGCCTGCAGACTGTCTCCGGCTCAGTCCGGGTCGGGGCGCACAGGCCTGGGTTGCGGCTGGTCCCCGGCAGGGGGCGCGCGCGAGGCAGCCACGCATCGAGGTTTCTCTCCCTCTTTCTCCCTCCCTTCCCCTGTCTGAAAATAAATAAATATTTTTTAAATCACTCTGTTGTGAGAGCGGGTTTGTACCGTGTGTTTGGGGGACACTGGCGCCCACTATTTCCCCTCTGAGGGACCCACGGAGATGTTGGGGGGCCCCCCAAAACTCCTGTTTTGTTTGGTGGCGTTTGAAAGGGCGCACCTCCCTCCTTTGTTGAACGCGAAGTCCTGCCTGCCGGCCTATTAATTCATGGGGGTCGATCGTCGTCTTTGTACTTTCTCCCCTGCACTCCTTTCGATCTGGCGCTGGCTGCAGGGGGCGTGCCGGTCTCCCGCCGTGGCCGTCATTCAGGCAGATCCTCCCGGGGTTTCCAGCAGCTTCTCTCCGTGTGTTCCGGAGCAGAAGGTTAATGACTGCGACGCGGCCTCGGGAGCCGTGCCCGGGGTCCGCCAGCCCCGCATCCGTGTCTACGTGCGCTGCCCCCTGGAGGAGCTCAGGGAACAAAGCCGATCGCGCAGCCTCGTAGGCCCCCCCCGGAGAAGGTGTGAAGGCCCGGAAGCAGGAAAGCGCAGAGGCGCCTGGGCGGGGCCGGGGGTCCTCTCACTCCCGGACCTGCTGCCCCTGGCCCCGCCCCGGAGCAGAGGGCGTTGCGGGGCGGGGAGCAAGGCGGGGGGCGGGGGGGCGGGGGGGCGGGCTGCAGTCTCGTGAATAACCAGCCGGAGTTCTTCCGCCAGTTCCCAAACCCCTCGGGGGCTGGGACTTTTGACTGGGCTCTCCAGGGCGCACTGCTGCCAGTCCGGGCTTCCTGTGTCGCCGGGGAGGCCTCCCGAGGGGCTGGGGGCGTCCCCTGGGACGGGCCACTGGGCGCCGTGTCCTGTGAGTCTCACACATGGTTTCCCAGCAGCGGCCCTGACGCCGGGGTAGGGGGTGGGAGCAGTCAGCCACCGCTGTGATGAGCAGCTCTGCCTCCTCCTTGCTCAGCGAGGTCACAGGTGCACGGATGAGATGGGAAGAACCCAGGCTGACCCCAAGTAGTGGTTAACTTTTAAAAAATATTTTATCCATTTATTTATAGAGAGCGGGGAAGGGAGGGAGAAAGAGAGGAAGCGAAACATCAGTGTGTGGTTGACTCTTGCACGCCCCCTGCTGGGGACCTGGCCTGCAACCCAGGCATGCTCCCTGACTGGGAATCGAACCAGCGACCCCGGTTGGCAGGCTGACACTCGATCACTGAGCTACACCAGCCAGGGGGTGATGGTTAATTCCGTGCGTGAACTTCAATGGGCCATGGGTGTTTGGGTAAACGTCACCCTCGGGTGTCTGTGAGGACGTTTCTCCATGACAGGAACGTCTATGGTAAGTTGGTGGACTGAGTACAGCCGACTGCCCGCCACACTGCGGGTGGGCCTTCCCCAATCAGTCGAAGACCCGAGCACAGAAAAACGGCGGGTCAGGGGGACGCTGCCTTTGAACTGAGACACCGAATCTGCTACTGCATTCGAGCTCACACTGCCAGCTCGCCTGGTTCTCAGGGCTCGAACGCCATTGGCTTCCTGGTTCTCAGGGCTTGAACGCCATTGGCTCTCCTGGTTCTCCCGCATGCCCACCGCACACTACGGGCCTCATCCTTCAGAGTCGCAGCAGCCAATCACAATTGCATGTGGGCGGGGTTTGTGTGCAGGGAGGTTCGTGCGTGCGGGTGGTTTGTGTGTGCCCCGCGGCTCAGCTAGAGGGCCACGGGGCTCACTGTCTCCTCCGGGGCCGACAGGGCGGATCGCCCCTTTATCTAAACGGAATGCGGTTTTGATTCCATTCAATACATTTGCCTTAAAACCTCCTTTGTCTGATACTAATATTGCCACCAGTTCTGCCTTCTTTTTCCTGATTCACCTGTTGCACCTTTGTCCACCCTCACACACCAACCTGTGAACCACACAGCCGAGTTGTAGGGATCCCTCCTCGAGAGCCTCTTGCCCTTCCTGGAAAGGCGGGCGCCAGGCCCGTGTGCGCCGAAGCCCATGCTCTCGGTCACCGCGCTGGCCAGGTGGTGTCCCCCCTTTCTTCCCACTTTTGATCTTGTCTTCTTTCTCGAATTTACTTTTTTACGCTGCTGGTGTTGGAATGATCTTCCTCTTCCAGGGAGGGCATACGAGGAGTCTGGTTTATTCGTCTTGCATAGTTTTAATGGACTGTATTGTGGTGACACTGGTTCACCAAACCACACCGGTTCCAGGCGTACAGTTCTATGATGACTCGTCTGCACGTTGTATCGTGTGCTCACCACCCAAAGAGAAGTGCCCTCCCACCACCATTTGTCCCCCCTTTGCCCTCCCCCCTCCCCCCTCTGACGATCAGCACGCTGTCGGCTGTGTCTGTCTGTCTCCTCCTCCTCCTCCTTCATCCCTCTACCTTTTTCGTCCAGCCCCTCCACCACCCTCCCCTCTGACAGCCGGGTCTGCTCTCTGTGTCTGTGAGTCTGTTTCCATTTTGTCTGTTACTTTACTTTGTGCATTAGGTTCCACACGTGAGTGAAGTCACATGGTCCTTGTGTTTCTCTCAATGGCTTAGCTGACGTAGCATAATACTCCCCGGCCCATCCGCGCTGCCGCAAAGGGTGAGATCTCCTTCCTTGTCGCAGCTGCGTCATGTCCCACTGTGTGAACGTGCAGAGATTCTCCTGACGGACACCGGGGCTGGGCCCATGCCTTCTCTGTTGCGAACAGCACTGCAATGATCGTAGGGGCGTTTATATCCTTTTGAAACAGTGTTGCACGTTTTCTCGGGTAAACTCCCAGCGGGGGTCCCTGGGTCACTAGGCAGTTGCGTCTGTAACTTGATGAGGACCCTCCATCCTGTTCCCCACAATGGCTGCACCAGTCTGCACGCCCACCCTCGGCGCAGGGGGGTTGGGTCTTTGAATACCAGCCAACGTTGCTTCTCCCTCCTGCCCAAGTGGGGGCCGGGCGGAGCCGTCCAGGACCCCAGTTTCCCTTTGGTAGGCGGTGCTCCAGGCCGTCAGCTCTCAGGCGGCAGATGGGGTGTCGTGCCCACGGCTGCGTGTCCCTTAAAAGTGGTCAAAATTCCTGCCTGGGTCACCATGACCAGTCCCTCAGCTGGTCAAGCGAGACCTCAAGTCTTTGCTCAGGTCAGGGAAACTATCTTCATTTTCTTTAAATAAAAATTTTTTAAACTTTATTTTATTTTGAATAAAAATTACACATGTTTAAGGTGCGCATATACAGCATGCTGACAGGCCCAGCCCCTCACAGAGCTGCGGGTTAGCGCAGCTGGCGCCCCCTGAGCACTTCGGGAACCGACACTGCGTCACTCACTGCGGTCACCGTGCTGTCCACCTCTAGACTCGCCCACCCTGCAGGGACGGTTCCCTTCAAAATGTCTTCTCCATTCACCCCAGCTGGTGTGGCTCAGTGGATTGAGCGAGGGCTGGGAACCAAAGGGTCGCTGGTTCAATTCCCAGTCAGGGCACATGCCTGGGTTGGGGGCCAGGCCCCCAGTAGGGGGCGCCTGAGAGGCAGCCACACATTGATGTTTTTCTTTCTTTCTCTAAAAATAAATAACTAAAATCTTTCCCCACTTCTTCTCGTCTTCCCATGATGTCCTTCCAGGGCACCTACTCTGTGGCTCCCAAACCTTGTGTCTCCTCATCTTCTCTTCCCCTTTCTAGGAAGGTTTGTTCAGCTGCAGGTAAGCAGCCCTGAGTGTAAGCCACACGGATATTCGCCATTTCACCATGAGGACACCTCCCACATATTTACCCAGAAGCTGAAGGATGGTGGTCCCAGGGTGAGTCCAGAGGCTCAGGTGAATCTGCTGGGTCCTCCTTCTGCTCTGACATTCTGTGTGTGTGGACTTGTTGCCTCTTTGTCACAACTTGGCTGCCAGAGCGCCAGCCCTCAGGTCCACAAACACTGTTTAAAGGAAGGAAGCAGGGAGGTGACTGTGGTGCAAGGAAGTCCTCATGCGCCTTTTTACGAGAGGGGGAGGATCTCGCCCAGAAGTCCCTCGGGTCTTCTGTGCATCCTGTGAAAACCCTCACTCCATGGGAGACTGTGGATCCGCGCGCCGACTGTCCCGGCTCTAGCGTGGAAGATGGGCAACGGAGGGAAGAACTGATGACCGCAGCTAACAGCCTCTGACTTCACAGCTCGGTCCCGGGGAGACTTCAGTGACGCTCTACCCCGTGACGCATTCCCGTTCCGGCCACGTCTGTCTGCTCCTTGCTCTCCCTGCCGGCCACACCCCGGATCTCCGGGGACTCCCCGGGGACTCTCCGGGGCTCCTTGCCCCCTCCCCACAGCAGCCTGCCTCTGTTCTCGGGAGTGTAGGAGTCGTTTTGAACTTTCTCTGTTTCCTGCCTTATCTCCTTGTCCTCACCAGATGGTCTGTTTGGAATCTTGGCGCCTGCCTTTCGTTGTGTTACTTTTCTCAGTTACATGTATGTTTGTATCTCTCAGTAAAGGACTAGACCGACCAGAATTTGTTGCCAGCAGTACAACCAGCACGTCATGAGTGTGGCTGCCAGGTGGGGTCTTTTGTTTCCTGGGGCCGTGACCTTGCCCTTGGCTGTGAACGGCCCACACTTTGGGTGCATTGTCTGTCTGGGCACCATGTGCACAGCTTGGGGCCTTTGGACATGACCTGAACGTGACCCCGCCCGCCTGTGCTGTGGCCCACGACGGCCCACCTGCAGCCCGAACACCCAGGTCCCGCCAGACAGACTCAGGTCTGGATTGCGGTCGGGAGGACAGAGCACTCGGGCCTCACCCGGGGCCTCGGAAGCCCCGTGGGAGCAAGTGCCTCAGCCCTAACAGCGCAGCAGGGGAGACCAGGGTGACGGGAAGGGGAAGACTGCTCCGGGCAGGGCCCAGCAGGCCAGGGAAGAGCTGGTTCTGAGGAGCTGCCGGAGGGGTGGAGGGTCTGCAGGGCCAGGCCAGGCGGGGCAGGTGGGCCTTGTCCTCTCTCTGGGGCACAGATGGGTGTCAGGGAGAGCCCAGCCCTCCGGCTG